TGTGGATTTTTGGGCTTCTTGCAGGCTTGACAGTCCTTTCTCATTGCAAATCACAGATTTCTAGGTATTTGTTAGTGTGTTGTTTCAGGTATAGTTACATCTTAGCAGATGTCACTTAATTATAGAATGCTGTAGGTTATTTTTTCCATCATAGGTCTCTTGTAGTTTGGCTCTTCTGTAGATTTCTTATTGAATGCAAAGGCAGTTACATAATCATAAGAATATGGGGATTCTCAGCTGAATTGAGTAATAGGAAGTGGCAAAAATAGTAAAGTTCTTATGAGCAGTGTATGAGATGAAAATTCACGCTGAAAAAGGGCGATAACATGGCAAAATACTTAATACTGCCTATTTGTTACAATTTTGAATTTCTATCAGGATAATGAAATTGTTCTGATCCATCTGCTCCAGTGCTTGAAGGGTTCGAGAAAGATAGTTGCAAACTGCCTTCTTTCCAGGGTAATAATGGGCTTGCTGACATTTGATGGCACTTTCTGGAGCTCATTTGTTCTTGCTATCACAGCTAGTGTTCTGGATTGGGTTGTCCCTTTTATAAATATTTTAATTTAATTTTACCTGATATGTTTCTATCTGGATATTTTTGTGATTAGTAAGAATTTTTTTAAGATTGCATTTCTAATTATCTAGCTGCTTGATGAAATCGCAACTTCTCCATAGCTAATGAATAACATTGTCACATGAGTGTTTCAGCAAAGTGTCTTTCTTTCAAAACAGTATAGAAATTGTTCCTTAGTAGCAGTAAAAGAACAATGTCTATTAATTATGTGATTTTTAATTTTTTTCGTGAAGTAATTTTTTTTTATTTTAACTTGCAGGAAGCACAGGCTTATGCAGATGACAACAGTTTATTGTTCATGGAGACATCTGCCAAAACATCTATGAACGTAAATGAAATATTCATGGCAATTGGTGAGTTTATGAACAAACTAAGAACTAAAAGAGAATTTTTTTCATGAGAATCAGACCATTGCAGTGTTCCTAACCCGAGGTCTTTTTATGTAACCTGAATTATTTCTGGCACTGAAGTTTCTTTAGGACCTTTTATTTGTTTAATTTTGTTTAGGTAGCTGTCTGAGATCCAAAAGTTGTGCCAAAGATGGCAATGTGTGCTTAAATTCACTGTCCAAATAATAAGTAAAGGACCCTGCATGTGGAAAGTAAATTTACTAATAATTTTTAGACCTAACGTAATCTTAGGGATTTCTGTAAAGTTGCTAACATGTAATAGTAAGTATACATTAAGAAATTTTGTGTATTCCATTGATATAACCAAAATTGTATTTTAATTGTTGCTAAACTTTTGGAAGGGGAGGAAAAAGAAAGAATACATTTTTGACCAGTCACTAACTCACTAGTGTATTAAATAATAACCTTAATAACAGTAGGAGCTCTGCTGCGCAGTAATAGTAATGTATAGCATCAAATAACCTCATTAAATCTGTTCTGTATGTTGCACCATACAGTGACCTCTCCAACACGTTTTCTGTGGGGAAAAATCATTGCTGTTAAAATTAAATGTTTCTAAAGAGCTCTTACCCTCTGCTTTTCAAGTCAGAAAAGCAGAAGATAATTTGTGATGAGCTTCAAATTAAATTTGAATTAAATTATCACTATAGCAACACTTTATGACAAGTACTTCCTTCATATTAACTATAAATACTTGGGGAGGGGGGACAGACACAAATGCATAACTCTTTGACAGGAAAGTATATTTTTCTCATAAATTGTTCAAGATAGGCCTGCATTTTGTGATACAGAAATGCTCAATTGCACCATTCTGGTGAAATTTCAGAATTAATGTGTTTAATGATGCAGTTTGCATCCTGTTTAAAAAAAAAAAAATGAATCACTAAGTACGTTGGAGTTTGGGGTTTTTTTGTGATTTGATGTTTCAACAATAGTTCTTACATCTCCATATTTTAATGAAGTATACAAAGTAAATTTGAGGAAAACCATGGCTAACTAATAACTGAGTATTTTGTCTGCACTGTTGGTTGCCCATGTGAATATTCTTTTGCATCAGTGGGGTGAAATTCAGCTTTGTCTGTGTATCAGAACAAGATTTATGCAACAGTGGGCTCTGAAAGGAAATCTTGGAGTCTCTAAGTATTACATGGAATTTGGAATAGCCAGCAGAACATGGCGCAGTTCTCAGGACCATGTGTAAATATGATCTTCAAAACTGGGAGAAAATAGAAAAATGAGAACACTGACAGAATTATGGGATGCATGCTACAGCTGCTTGTAAATTGACTGCTTTAGAGTTCATTCAAGAACTGTCAGTTAAGAAAAATGTTAATTGAGTTTCTAGATACAGTTCTAGAATTCAAAATCACAGTGCTCTGAAGGCATTTTTCTACTGGTGCTTTGTCCCTCTATGCTGTCTCAAAAGCTTAGTACCATGTGAATTCTTGGGTTTTATCACAGAACTGTAGGACAGCACAAGTTGGAAGGGAATCCAGAAGATTCCTCTGCTCCACCCTTTTGTGGGAAAGGAAACCTAGATTACTTAGCACCCTGAGATTATCTAGTACCACAGCATACTGTTGATGTGTGCTCTGCTGTTTTTCTGGCTGCATTTTGTTCCTTTCAGGAAAAACTCTTATTTAAAAGGCTGACTGAAGTAATTCTTTTGGATTCTACAGCCAAGCTGTAGAACAGGGGTGGTTGCTGGATCCCAGTTCATGTGCAAGAAAGGCCCATGGAAGTCCTTTTACGGACTTATATGGTTAAAATAAGCAATTTTCTGATGGAAGAAATCTAGGAGAAGCTACTGCTCAGAAAGGCAACAGTTGCTGCCCTTATTTTTCATGTCAGGACTGAGGAGGTACCTTCGAGATACGAAGGCAACAAAGAAATTTATTGGTCAATTGATTCATAAGAGCTGGAGAAAAGAGACAGCTTAAAATAGATGAGAGGCTTGATCTGGTGCTGAGGGCCATTTTATATGTTGTATGCAAATACTTTGGCTGGATATGTGGGAACTAGTTTGACCCATTTCTGTCTGTGTTTTGTACCTTTTCAGTGTTTCTGTCTTTTCTCACTAACATTCTGATCTTAAAGCCTGTTCCATAGTGGGTGTATTCCCACAAGAGCTGTCATTTGCTGGCATAGCACACCTGTGCAGATATATTTTACTGCTCAAGTTACTAATGCATTTGATGCTTGGAAATCATAGATAAGGGAGTTAATCATTAAGAAGTTAAGTGCCTTAACTTCTTTCATTACCAATGCACTGAATCAAATCCAATTATATAGTGAGTATAATGATATGCTTATAGAGTAATAATGTGTTGACTTTGTGTACTCAGGTGATCTAATCTTAGTAAAATCTGTTTTAACTCTTATTTCCTGTTCATCTTACAGCGAAAAAATTGCCCAAGAATGAACCACAGAATGCAGGAGCCAGCTCTGCCAGAGGAAGAGGAGTAGACCTTACTGAACCCACACAACCACCCAAGAGTCAATGTTGTAGTAACTAAAAGATCAATGGCTTTAAACTGTTCTGAATATTCTTCTGCTTCCTAACTGTTAATAACCATGGAATTGGAGTGCTTAACCTGGTCCAGTACAGCTTCCCAACAGCGAAGAGACTTATGATAATAGTCAAGTTCATGATACAGAGTTTTCTTTTGACGTAAAATTTTAACATGCATGTATCCACCACTGGCTATAATGTTTCAGCAGTAGAGGAGAGATGGAAGCGGAATAAACTTCCTTGAGTTGAAAGATTTTCAAAATCAGTTGTTGTTATTATTAGGGGTATAGAAGAACTGCTCTCTTTGGACCTGATTGGCCAGTTCCTGTAGCCTCAATACTGATCACTGTTATAATAAATAGAATTGGGTCTTTTCATAATTCTCAATTGTGCTTTAAACCTTTTTAGAAACAGGGTCTAAAAATTACTTAAACTTACCTGAAGTATTGATGCAACCAGTTGTTTCTGCAGGTATCCACTATTTAGTTATACATTCCATAGTTTGATAATTTAATTACAAATAATACTTGCATTAACAATTTTAAGAATCCTATGCTTGCCAGACAGTGGAGTTTTAGTTGGTACACTGTATGTAAATTATACCAACCCAGTTAGTTATCTTAATGAATTAGTGATGAATCAAGTTTAACTTAATTTCTAATCTTTTCAGAGGGTACAGACCAGTAAATTCAATTCTACAACTTAGGATATGGGGTTTTTTCCCTCTACAAACTGTAAGAGCTCTTCAAGTAAAACCACAACAAACTCGGTGTCTGTGACTTTTCTTGTTTCTGATCATTGCTGGCCATTACAGTTTGTTTTTCCCCTAAGGAAAAAAATAGTGCACTAACGATTATGTACATCCAACTTGATTTTAAATTTGGATATTAATGTACTGTAAATAGGTACTCTGCATTGTAGTCTACATTTGTTTAATACTTTCTGTAATATTTAAGAGTTGCTTAAAGGTATACAGAATGTACAGTTACTTAAAGCTAACTTTTTTCCTCTCTAATCAAAGGGGGTTCTGAGTTCTTCCTTTATGGCTAGAACAGTAATAAATGATGCTCCTGTATCTGTAACATAAGTACTGCTGTCTGTCAGTAATGAACTTTGCAACTTTGTTTTCCAAAGTACATTTTATTTTGATCAGTCCAGTATATTGCACTAATTCTTTTAGTTATTTTCATTATATGAAATCTACAAGGTGTGTCAGAAGAGATGAATTAGTCTATTTAAATGTTGAACTGATAGAAACTTACTTGTGCAGATTTAAAATTTGCAGTAATCTGGGTTTAGCAAGGAAAATGACAGTTCACCAGTGTTTAGTTTTATATTGAGGTGCTCAGGTTTGAATAAAGTGGTTTAAAAAAAAATTTGATTGCTGTTTCTTATTGAGAGTTTGAGATGGTTTTATTGCATTTGTACAGTTCCAGACAAGATGTCTGATTTACTGAATGGGTCCGCATTTAAGATGGTTACAAGTAAATTCATGACACAGCTAAATATAAGCCTGTTCTGTATATACTGTCACTTCAGCTGTCCTATGGTAAATTTTGAGGTAATTGGGTATTTTATCATGTCCATATAGAAGAAATACAATCAAAATAGTAATATTATCTCTTGAACCTGAAGCTAATGCAGTCTTTGCCAGTTACTCCCTAATGTAGCTTGTTGCATTGTTGTAGTGCCTCAGAGCTGACTGTGCCTCTTCCTGCAGCTGGTGATTTGCAATTGGATGGGTCCATTTTTGTGTCCTTTTCAAACTGGTGGTGGTTTAGAACCCAGTGGTTATACAGACTTTAGCAGGTCTTGACCAGCATCACTTGCAGTTTGTCACAAAATGCATTGGAGCCCATTTTTCTGCCAGCTGTGGACTTGAGTCACAATTAGCTGGCACGTTTTTCTCTCTTTTGGGTTCTGCTTCATGACTTCAGACCCTCTTGCCAGTACATTCTGTTGCAGATGTTTATGGCTGTGAGACGGACCTGTTGCACAGAAGGCAACAGTTTCTTCTTGCTCTGAAGCCTGTCACAGTGGACAGGCTCAGTGGACAGACAACCACCTTGTGTGCTAGAATCTTGCAGATTATTAATAGTATTTGAGTCATTTGTCTTCAGTGAGGGGCATTGAATATTGACACTTAGATGGAGAAGTCCTGTTTCATTGAACACCACTCATGCGTTCTCAAACGAGTGGATGTTGTTAGAGTTGGTGCCAGTACTTCATTGTAATCCAAAACCCTTTAGAAGCCAGAATAAGAATCTGATATGACAGATACGAGTTACAGGTATAACAGATGTTGTTTTTATTGCATCTCTGTGATGTCCAAGAGCCCTTGTAATTCTCAGGTACCCCTCTGCTAATCCATCTGGTGTATCCACCATTCTGAAGTGTTTTCTCTCATGAGTGCTGTGCCCTTTTGAGAGGCAGTGACTCTTTCCATTTTCATATAAGACTGCATGTACATCATCTAAAACTGAAATATTTTTAATATAGCATACTGTTGGGTTTACTTAAGATGCTGCTGTTACAGTAACAGTCTCTTGTTAAGGACTGGGGGAAAAAATGAGATCATAGTTGAATATTCTACTGCCACAAGCAACAGTATGTCCATCAGTGAATTTGTTTCTATTTTACAGCAAAGTTTTCTGTGGTTTTTTCCATTCGATTGTTAGAAGACTGTTTCAGAATCTTATTCTCCTGACTGCAGATAAACTTTTATGAGGAGTCTTAAGTGATATTTTATTCAGCTTAAAGTGCAGTCTGATAGAAAAGTTGCACATTGACTGGTTTTTAAGCAAGAGTGCGTATTTTTTTCAAACATTTTCTTTTTGCTCCAATGAGAGTGTGTGCTTTCAAAATATTATGGCCGAATGAATTCATCAAGAAGCTTCAGGTTCAGACTGTTTCTAGCAGCACATAATTGTTAGTACTGAAAAATAATTTGGGCATGGTGTAGAATTTAGTTTACTAACATGATTCCTTACATCTCTTCTTGGGTTAAAGCACCCAAGGAACCAAGAGTTCTTACAGTCATCATGGGAAGTTGAGGACTAACTTCTTTCCTTTAGCAGGCATAGGTATTTTACCTTTCCCTCAACACTCCTGAAATCCGAGAATTGAGTGTTAGAAACTGCAACACTGCAGGGGGCTGGTCTTGTCAGACCTGAATGAAAAGCATAAAGGAAAGAGCTCCAAACCAAAGAGCTGTATTATTTGGGATCCTCTATGGCTGCCCTGGGAGACTATTTTTTGTGTCGGAGGAGGTTATTGATCTGCTCCCATGCATTGGCATAAGGGCAAAAGTGATGTCTTACAGAAGAAACTTGAGTGAGATATGTGGTATCTTTCTAGGCATGAAGGTGGCTGCAGTGTGTTCATTTATATTGTACTTTTAATATTTACCTAGACTAGGGGCACATACCTCTGAAAAGTGTGTATAAGTAGGCATTACTTATACAGTAGTAGTGTTTATTGGGCACTATTGGCAGTCTAGCGTAGGAGACAGCTAAGGGTAGTCTGTGTGAAGGCAGATTTCTCTTGAAGGTGATTCAGAATATCAAACTGAAGGACACACCTTTAATTAATTACACCATGTAGATACCTTCAGTTGTGTGCTCTATGAATGTTTCCTTGTGCTTGCTCCCCTCTCCTTCCTCTGATTTCCATGGAGAGCTAGAAGAATGTGTAAAATATCCTTTGAACCCTTGGAGTAAGACCACCAGCTGTAAGCCTAACAAAGGGCATAATATAACCTATGTGGAACAACTTCACTGCAAGGAGTAAAATCCAGTTGCTTTTGGATACAAGTCTCTTGTCAGCAAACCAGACAGCAAAAGAATCAACAAAACCTAACTGGCCTGTGAGTGTGGGACTAAATGAAAACAGGGCTGGCCAATGTCACCCTCTCCTGCTCTGTGTATCTGACCATCCTCTTCGGTTGCTTACCTGGAGCTGAAGGAACATGTCTGTACTTATTTAAGAACACACTCCTGGGGGAGAAATGAAGGTTGATGTTGTGCGAATCTTTTTCTTTGGTGTGATACATTTGGTGAAAATTAAGTGTATTAAATTAAATAAATGTGGTTCAAAAATGTGGATTTTAATCATAAAAGGTTTAAAGTATCTCTGATCAACTTCAAGCCTTAACTCATTAGCAGATCTTGAGTTTATGGTATTTTTAACTGCAGCCAGCAATTAAATTCTCAGGGAGGGATGGATGGAAGCAGGTAGCAAAACCAAGAAGAAATCTGGTAGAGAATTCATCTAACCCAAGTTGTTATATTCATCAATCTCTTTGGAATATAAAGTGGTTTTCTTTCACAACAAGGTGGAAACAAATACAGCTGAAAACAACCTTCCACCCTTTATGTGAATTAATTCTGTGTTCTATTAAAGGGCTATGACTGTGTCTCCTGAAAAAGTAGTGGAGCTAAGGCTAAACTACCAGTTTTGATACCTGTGACAGTGAAGTTCACATAGTTGCAAAAAGCTTGTTGGAGGTAAAGTACGGCTGTAGTAATAAGTAGTGGGAGAATGGGGGGGGGGGGGGG